ATATCATGTTGTGGGAGTTTAAACTCGGCAATAACGCTACAGAAACAGCAAAAAAGATTTGCAATGTCTACGGCAGTGGCGTAATTTCAGACAGAGCAGTTCGAAAGTGGTTTACAAAATTTCGTTCTGGTGATTTCTCCTTAAAAGATGATGAAAGACCAGGCCGCTCCTCAGACTTCGATGATGACGTTTTAAAGGCCTTGATTGAGCAGAATCCACGGCAAACGACGAGGGAGTTAGCAGAGAAGCTGCACACATCCCAATCAACTATCAATCGTCACCTCCAAAAGCTAGGAAAAGTAAGCAAGTTGGGAGTTTGGGTTCCACATAACCTCAGTGAACGGAATAAGGCTGACAGAAGGTCGATAGCTGCTACCTTGCTTTCTTGGCAAAAAGAGAAATCTTTTTTTGCTAAAATTGTTACGGGAGATGAAAAGTGGATCACATACGAAAATGTTATTCGAAAAAGACAATGGGTTGACAAAAATGATCAGCCACAACCGGGCCCTAAACCAAGTGTGCACGGAAGGAAAATTTTGTTGTGTGTATGGTGGGATCGTCAAGGAATTATCCATTTTGAGTTGTTGCCACGCAATGAAACTGTTACTGCAAATGTATACATACAACAGTTATAGCAACTTCGGCTAAAACTTCATGAAAAGCGTCCTGCACTTGTTAACAGAAAAAAGATCACCTTATTGCATGACAATGCAAGGCCACACACAGTGAAGATTACACAAGAAAAAATTTTGGAGTTTGGCTGGTCTGTTTTGCCTCATCCACCATATTCACCAGACCTGGCACCAACAGATTTTCACCTTTTCCGGGCACTGCAGAATGCTTTACAAGGGCAATGCTTCCAAAATGATGACCAAGTTCAGGAGTTCGTCCAGGAGTTTTTTGATTCGAAACCACCAGAATTTTATGCAAGGGGAATTGACAAGTTGCCCGAAAAATGGCAAGAAGTCATTAATAATGATGGTGAATATGTGTTAGATTAAAGTCTATTGTTGTATATTTTATTGGCAAATAAATTTCAGTTTAGAAAACGGAACTTATTTATGACTCAACCCAATATATAAATAAAAATGAAATGTTCGTTTGTTCCTACCGATTCCTTTGAAATTTTGACACAACGTTGCATTCGAATACGCACGTGATTTTATATAATATACATGTCGAAATTTCACCCTCTACGAGGGAGATGGATAGTATTAAGGCTTTTTTTTTTTAACTCTCCGCCCCGTGGGCACTGAGAGCCTCATTTTGCAAGCCCATTATGGGTTCGGCCAGGTCCACAATGGGGCTGCCGGGTGGTGAGGGACGGGGCCCGACATGTCCGAACGGACCACCTCCCAAAAAATTCCTGGGGATTTTTCGACCCGTTCAGATTCCAACCCGGGTCCCCCAGAGCGGTAGGCTGCCACCTTGACCGCTCGGCCATCCGGCCGCAAGGATTAAGGCTTATCGTGAAGAACTTTGCTTCTATTTATACTATTTTAGATGCGGTTTTTTGCGTTTTTGATTGCGTTTTAATAGGGTACGTCAAGAGAATGTATACTACGAAGGGATTTTTCGAAAAATTCCCCCTCCTCCACGGGGAAGTGTTATACATTTATAATAGATACATTTTGAGCCACAACAACGCGTGGCAGGGTCTGCTAGTATCTTTATAAAAATAGAATTACCGATCTCAAAATTTGTCATTAGGTAATCATAAGGTACTTAAACTTAAGAGCAAAGAACTAGAAAAAGAAATTAATTTCGAGATAAGTTTTCATATCTTAAACTGATTTGGAATAGAATACAGTATATTTATCACGCTGCAAACATGGACGAGGTTAATTAATAATAATGAACATAAATCTTCAGGAAAAGTATACACTTAATTGATTTTATGTCGCGTGATAATCAGCGAAGCCGACACTCGATGGAACCGATCATCGACGATGAGAGAGAGCAATGATCCAAGACACAAATAATTGACCAGTTGTTTTTTTCAGATTTCGGCATGGAGATATTTGTGGAAGATGCGCATATAAGTGCGAATGTGGATAGAAAGCTGAATGATGAGGATGATTTTCAGTTTTGACTTGGAAAATTATCAAGAAACAAATTACTGTATTGTGAAATTGTTCTCGATCTTGCCGAGGATTGTTTCGGCTACCGGCGACAAGTTGATAAAAACGAATGCGAGAATAATCATCAGAAAGTCGAATTGGAAGCTGTTAGCGAGTGTCTCGACAGGTAAGATTTTTATTTAATACGTATTTTATATCATTTTCTGTGTTGTTTCTATATTATAGAAATGAAATACTTTAAATAATATATTACAGAAAACAAAGATTATTACTTATTATTAAAATTAAATATTTTAATAATAAGTATTTCGATTAATTTGAATTTTTCATTTTGATACAACAGGGTAGCCGAGGATATGACATCCGATGTGCATGCCAGTCAATCAAAGGAACATGCACCAAAAAGGGGAAAATTCCCTAAATTGAAGAAACTTTTCAGATTCTTCTTTTGGTGTGTATCTTTAAATTATTTATTATAATACATCTTTACCAATTATTCTGAATTTAATTAATTGTTGCAATTCCATGACAGAACTCCGTCCATGTGGAGAAGTTCGAATTTGCAGACTACATCTGCTGTATATAACTGTACATAGTTCATCTGTAAATATCATCATTATTTTCATCTGAACACATTCATCGTCATCGTTGTACAAGGTATATAGTCGTTTTTTATTCGTTATTTTCTATTTGTGTTTGCTGTTTATCGTTTTCATTCGTTTTTTTTATTTATTCATACATATAATTCTTTTCGTGATTATTTCAAAATTTATAACTCTCTGTATTTCGGCTTTAATATATTTCAATCATCATTTAAAAAATCCAACATATGACACATCTGACACCTATTGTGACTTATATCTACTGAACTGACATGATACCAAATGTATTTTTCACCAATCTGAGTGATATCCTGACTCAAAACGTGACACCTATGAATTAACTAACGCAGTGTTTTTCAACCTGTGGGTCGCGACCCCCAAGGGGGTCCCAAAGCATTACACGGGGGGTCGCGGGTGAAAGAAAAAGACAAGTGTTTGTAGGTCCTACACTACAATAAAAAAATCTAGAATTTCAGTGAGAAGGCTGTGCCTGTTTATTTTACAGTACAATTGGTGTTTCGATCGATATTTAAAGAAAGAAAATTAAATACGTAGTTTTTAGAATCACTGATATAGTTTTAATATAGCCCTGGGGGTCGCCAGAATTTTTTAACTTGTAAAGGGGTCGCGTATTCAAGAAGGTTGAAAAACACTGAACTAACGTATTATGACACAGGGATTATGGACATAACAATTGTGACTAACGGATAAAGACACACGGATTGTGGACACACACTCGAATAACAGATGACGACACCCCGATATAAGACATTAACTGTATGCAATGTCAAGATCACTGATTAACTATAAATTGTATTAATAAATTTACTTATTTTTTCGGTTATGAAAATAAGTGACTGTATAATAAACAAAATAAAAAAGATAAATAAAGCTAGAATTTTTATATTATCATTATCGTTATTTACATTATTTCTTCATTGTTTAGAAGCTATTTTATTTGACAATATTATTCAATTAATTTACACAACGTTTACAATGTAAACAGGTGAACTGATTTATAAATTTACTTGTACAAACAAGTAATTGTTAGATAAGAATATGTTTACATTCTCAATTACTTTTTTAAAAGCTATAGAAAGTTTTTAAAAATTTTGAGACTGCTCATGGATCCATAAAATAATGTTGCCACGTTAAGACAATAGTTATTCAGTTTTAATGAAAAGTTTTCATTATATATTAATAATAAAATAATGAATATTCCTATTTTTTCGTGGTTTACTTGTTTATACAAGTTTACTGAATTAATACAATTTCATTAAAACAAGTTCATGAAGAATAACATTGGGTACGTTCGTAAAGTCGAACGAGAATAATGTCATCGTTATTCTTATTTCGTTAGACTTTTTGAAGTGAACTAACTCTTTCTTTCGTGAACGTAGTTAGAATTTCGTTCGAAACGTCATCACCGCAGAGCATGTGCACTGAGCGAGACTATTACTATTCGAACGATTCGTTACTAACGCGTTTAACTCGTTCGACTTTACGAACGTACCCATTATGACAAATTGAAAATATTGTACGTAATTACATGAACATTAGCTTCGTAAATGAACAATTATGTAAATTAATGAAGCTTTTTAAGTCGTTTAAGATTGAAACAAGCCTAATAAATAAAAATTCTATAATACAGTGAGAAATGTATTACACAAACGAACGATTTAAGGCTATATAGCTGACCACTACAGGCAAATCTGACATCAAATGAGGTTGCTCAGTGTGAGTGAAGAATGCAGAATGATATCTCATTTCATACTCTCTGTAGGATAGATTACAGGAAAAATTTAATTTTTATCTACTAGATTTATAAAATTATTCTGTTTTAAGAAATTATGATAAATATATATTGATGCACTATACTAATATTAAAAGGCAGTAAAAAAACATAAGAAATTTTGCTATATAAAAATACAGTAATTTAACATTCTTACAAGAGTTAAGTTTAAAATCATAATTTACTTTCACTCAATATACATACCTTAATCATTATCATCACTTCTTCATGTATCTTTTTCATATGATAATCTTGACTTCTTAGATGTTTCTTTATCTTCAATTTCAAGGACTGAACGACGAGTGCGAGATATTGATAGGTCACGAAAGAATCCCTTTTCTTTTAAATCAGCTCTATGTCTACCAATATTCTCTTCTTCTGATTCTTGTTCTCTTTCTTCCTCATTGTTCTTATCATTTGTTTTATTTACTTTTGTCTTTAAAAATATTTTTAAAAGTTAGTTAACACTTCTAAATAATAAATATGATATGATTTTGTTTCTTAAAATCATATCAAAATTATTTATCAGTTTAGTTTTCAGAATAATTTTAAAATTCTTCTCAATTCTAAACTAATTAATGAGTCTAAAGAAAAACAAGTAAGAAAATCACAAAAAAGAGCTTACTGAAAATTCAATTACTATTCAAGTATGTTAAAAATAATACATGGAATATTTGTTCATTCTTTTCATAAAATAATAAACGTCACTAGAAAAGAGATTATTTTAAAAAAGACAACCATCACACAATAAAACTGCTAAATGATAGTTCAACTCCTTTACTACAGTTTAATAAAAAGAAATATATTAAAAATACTACAGACCTAAATATTAGATATAAGATGATGATAAATCATCCATTGTAATGAAAATTTATTTTAAATTAAAATGAGTTAACAACTTTGACTATTCCTTATTTGTCAGCAGAAACTGCACGTTAATAGTAATTTTTTTGAAATTAATACAAACAAATATTTAAAAGAATTATTGAATAGAACACATTTAAAATTAATACTACTACTTCTAGTCACTGATGAGTAAGATTACTTTGGTAATCCAAAGAAACTACAACACCTGGCAAAAAGTATTTGAACATGATAAAGATAAATAAAATTGTTTAGTTTGAGCTCATTTTACAAGAAAATAGAAATGTAATGTTCAAAACAAAACTACATATTTTGTTCATTGGATCATAAGGTGATGATCACTTTAATTTCAAATGAATAAACCAAATCATTTTCCCAAAAAATAATTTCTACATAAAGCAGTATTTGAAAAAAGTTTTTGAACAACAATAATAATAAAAGGATTATAAAATAAGAGATTACATTTTGTTGATCCTCTTGACAGTTTTTATGCATCTTGGCATTGTCAAAATTAATTCATTGAAGGTTTCTGAAGTTATTTTACTCCAGCTATTTTAATAGCTTCTTTAAGTTTATTTTTATTAGTTGGAGCCCTTTCATCAACCAGCATTTTCAACTTTGCTTACAAATTTTCAATAGTGTTTAAATCTGGGTTATTTGTAGGCCAAGTTAATGTTTTAATAACCTTAAACTTTAAAAATTTAAAAATTTGTTTGGCTTGATGGCATGTGG